GGGGAGGTGAAATCAAAAGGTAAGTCATTTGCTTAAGAAAAAAGGGGACTCTGGTCTCACTGACTGTTTCTACTAATACTTTACTAGGACTGAAAAATGCATCCCAGGCTCAAGTCAGTACATGAAAATATCTGCATGGCTTGGTCTTTTGTATTAAGAGTGGAGTCATCTAGTTTTATAGCCAAAGATATTATTTTAAGTTTCTATCTGAATCTCACAAAGATGTCCAGGCTTCCTCTTGTCTCAAATCCGTGTGTAAGATGCAAATGCCAGGATAGAAGAATTATCGCTCGTAAGGCTAAGCCGTGATACAAGCCTGTTCTCTGGCTAGAACTTCCCTAAAGAGGCATGGTGCAAAAGCCTAAGGATTGGTCTCTAAGCTGTGCTGCTCCTGATCAGCATTTTCCTTAGTAGCTAATAAATTAAGCAGCTGAAGAAATATTATTGCCAAACAAATTTCTCAAAATAATCAGAAAGTAAATGGGGATAATATGATATACAACTCGCTAAACACAAATGTATAGAACTGCATCCAAAAGCTCTACTCCAGGGATATATCCAAGCTGTTTTTATGATGCTGCTAGTAATTTTAGTCTTAGGGATGTAGAAGACATAAAAATCAAACCCTGGGTATAGCACTTCTGGCATAAATCTGATCCTAAAGAGAAATGGTCCTTTAATTTGTTATTCAGTATCTACGTATTTACTCATTCACTAATTCAGCAATCATTTGTACATTCCTACAAGGTTGAGGTAGCAACTATAAACTCAAATGTTATGGAATTTAAGGAAAGGAAGTAAGGGAGAGGAGGTGAGAGTGTGAAGGGGCAGGGCTTTGACATGGTGACATGACTGTAGACATGATGGAATGAATGGAACTGGCCTAGTGTCCTACAGCATTTCTTCTCTGGTAGGGGGCAACATTCCTGTGCCCAGCACGAGTGTCAAGTCTGGTGACAGGAGCACAGGACTGCTCAGAGATGGATGAGATGATCCGACCCATGCCCAGTAGAGTCTGATGCTGATGGTCACTCTACCCCAAGGGCAGCCATGAGCACTCAAGTACCAATAGGTACAAATGTCTGAGAAGGGTCCAGCACATAGGGTAGCTGTGAAGCCACCAGGTGGCCACAAGCAGGAGGAGACAGCAGCAGGAAACCTCTCCCTGACATTACTCAGAGATTTTAATATTTAAATTAAACTTGATTTTGAACTAAGTACTCACTACATGCACATTTACTTCTAGCCAAAAACCATTTCAAAACTCTTATGAATTTCTAAGGCTAATTTTCTTAAAAAGCATATAAAACACTCCAAAATTGAATTTACTATGGAAAAATACAAACATATCTGTTTGAGGGACATTGGAAACAGTCATGATCAGCTGATGCGAACACACTCATGAGAACCTTCTTAAATCTTCTGATTCCCCAGGGTTTAAAGGGCACAGGAAAAAACTTCCATTAAATTAAACCCAAATGGGGATTACTCATTGGGTAATCATGTTTTAACATGTCTTGAGTTTCTTAGAAACTGTGCCACATCCAGACATTGCTAGGCCTTCATTCCTATTACAGTGTTCCGGATATTTATGTTTTCTTTTCCACTCACAAACAAGGCAAACACTCACATCTTCACCCAGAAGAGTCAGCATTCTGCTATGAACAACCGTAACTGGAAATTTCATCAAACAGGACCACGGGAATCTTTGAGGCTTGCTATTCACCAAAAACTAATTTTAAAGTCTTTGCTGTTTCTAGAAGAAACTCAATCCAAAGCTGCTGTGACTAATAGGTTTCCAACGCAGGTGAACATCCCTGAAGCTGTGATGAAACACTTGGAGCGCTGAGGGCTCATGGCTGTGGACAGCTGCCTGGACAAGGACTTTCACATCTGTGTCCTGAGGGATCCTGAGCACTGCTGGCAATGACACAAAAAGGTGCCCTCCACTGTCTAGCAGGGTAAGATAGATTCAGTCTGTTCTCTTCTCAATCCAGCCTCCATCCACAGAGGCATTACCACAACTGACAGCATCTCTCCCGTGACTGACAGCATCTCTTCCCATGACTGACAGCATCTCTCCCCACTCCATTTACAAGGTTATCACCGTGATTGACAGCATCTCTCCCCGTGACTGACAGTCTCTCCCCCATGATTGACAGCATTTCTCCTCACTTCATCCACAGGGGCATCACCCTGCTGACAGCATTTCTCTCCTCTCCAGCCTCCATCCACGGAGGTGTCACCCTGACTGAGCAACTTCTCTGATCTCTCATTTTCTCTGGGCAGGCAAGGTCTCAGACCAGGATTCTGAGCTCCACCAGAACCTTGCTGTTTCGTAGGAACTGGGGGCTTGAAGAGGGGCCAGACATGATCTGCAGTACCAGAAGTGAGGCTCTTGCAACCCGTCTGCCACCTCCACTTCTCCTTCCATGCAGCTTTCCAAAGGGGGGTCCGTGTAAATAAAGGCCCCAGTGACTTAGGAACATCTAGGACTTTCTGGGCTATAGGATCTCCAGACTCTAGCTCATGGAATTAAATACTCGTAAAATTTTTCTCTCTGACCCTGTGGAGCTGGGGTTGGGGGGAATCTCTTCACACTAACAGGGACTCCCTCATCCCTGGCAGGGGTTTACAGGCCAGTTCCATGACTCTGGCATGTAGGAGCGGTGTCACCTTTTCCCGACCTGTGCTGGGATCATTTCCGTTACTCCCAGTCACTGTCCCAATCCACAGTCCAGCTGGTGTCCCCAGGAGGAGAGGAGCGTGCCAGCCCTGCTCTCCCCACACCTACTGCTCCACTGAGATGAGGAAGTGGCAGGTAAATGTTCAGTGAGGAAATCACTTCTCTGAAATCAAGAAAGTATAGATTAGAGCAACACTGTAGCATGCAGATGATTATCTTAGCACAGGACGAAATAAGGTGAGAAGAGCCTGGAGACCACGAGCCTGCGTGTCATAAGAGCGGCATGGAGAATGCAAGCAAGCGTTTCTCATTTCAGTCTCATTTCACTGCTTGCAAATAAGGAGGGTAGGATGGGGAGAAAACCCATAGACTTAGGCACTACTCCCTCCCAGCACAGAAGGATGCATGCCACTGGTGGCAGACAAGCCCTCTGAAAAGGAGCAAGGACATGTGAATGACATTTTTCATTACATCACGGTCACGGTCCTCCCATTGTTCATTGATTTGCTTGAGCAGGCCCAGTAACGTCTCCATTGTGACACTTGTTACTGTGTTTGGCATATCGAATACGTCACGGGGAGCTTGCCAGGCTTTGCCATGCGGGCGAGATACTCTCGGTAGCTTTCCAGGCTCTCTGAGAGGGGCGGACAAATCGAACTCAGGTCGGCCATATTGGCTGTGTGCAAGGCAAATGCCCTACCACTGTGCTATCACTCACCTGGTATTTATTTTTATATTTATGGAGGGGGAGCACCACACCTGGCAATGCTCAGTACTCTGGTTCTGTGCTTAGGGATCACTCCTGGTGGTGCACCAGCAACTATAACTGGTGCCAGGGTTTGAACCTTGGTTGGCCGCCAAGGGAAATGCCTTAACCCCTGCACTATCTCTCCAGTCTCCCATATTTATTTTCTTGTGCATGTACAAATAATGACCAACAAAACTATGGATTTATTTACATTATTTCTTATGATAAAGAAAAATTTTAAGTAAATTAAAAGTCAAATATAAAAATCATAATAAAAGTAATACTAAGGTTTTGCAAAAATCATTGTAGAACTAATAAAGGCCAGTTCAGTTCCAGGGTCTGATAAAATGTCCAATCCCAGGTCATCCTGATAAAATGAATCTGTGCAACTTTATATAAACTTCTGTTCTGACTATCTCAGGCCCCCATCAGATCTGTTTATTGATTACCCCTCTTCCAGAGGAACCACACACAGCTATAAGTAAGATCTTTTTGAATAAGTAAGTGAATACATGTCTAAATTAATATAAAGCATCAAAGAACAGGGCTGGGGCAATAGTACAGCAGGTAGGGCATTTGCCTACCATGCAGCCAACCCAGGTTCAAACCCCAGCATCCCAAATGGTCCCCTGAGCACCACCAGTAGTAACTCCTGAGTGCAGAGCCATTCGTAACACCTGAGCATTGCTGGGTATGACCCAGAAAGTCAAAACAAAAAACAAACAAACAAAACCATCCAAAGAAAAAGTAAACCCTGCCTAGCTCCAAGGATCAAATGTATGCTGACAACAAGGACTAAGGAAAAGATTCAAGACAAGACACTCAACTCACTTGGTATCTTGACATCCCCTCCCCACCTGATACACGGTCTGACAAAGACCCCCTGTGTCCCCTATGGAACAGGACATGAGAGGCTGATGGGCAGGTTCACGCAAGGAGGGAGGGCTCTCAGCCCAGGTCTTCCCACTGCAGCTTCCAAATCCTGAGTCTGAAGGAAGCCAAAGGGAAGCAGGGTGCTATGGAAACAGTATTCCAGGCAGCCAGCAAAAGCAGAAGGAACGCCTTGCAGGCAGGGGACACCCCAAAGTGAATGCTGCGGAGCTGACGTAGGGTCAGCAGGATGCTTAGCTGCCCATATGCCTCTGCCTGGCCTCAGGTTGTGCAGGACCTGGAGAGCTTTAGGACCAGTAGAACCAACTCTTCAGAACAATCAAGGAGAACTCTGAGCTGTGCCTGGTGACTGGTTTTCCCCACAGAGAGTGAGGAGGAAGAAACCCCTCCGCGGCCCATATAGTGTGCCTCCCTCACACACTTGAAGGACGCTAGACATTAATCATGAGATTCTAACCCCAAGCAAGTTCAGAGAGCTGCTCAGAGCCACCTTCCTCCTATTGCTCAGGCCACTCATTGCTAATCAAGAGGATGTTATGAAATGTGAGTCAGAAGCCTCCAGCTCCCTGGAAGTTCCAATCGCTATATAAAGGGCTTCGCCAGCTGAGTTATCAGAGTATCGGGCTCAGTGCAGTCTCGAGGTTTGTTCAGCTACCCAGGAAGTGAGAGTTCAGCATGCACAGCCTGGTCCTACTGTTGCTGCTCTACACCACGGGTGCCTGGGCCTTCCCTGTGACACTGGCAGACACGGAAGAGGAAGACATGGAGATTGTCCAGGTACATGCCTCCCTCCCCTGACAGCATGCATGGGCCTTTGTGGGCAGTGGTTGTGTGAATAAGAGTTTATTTGGGAGTGGATTTAATGCCAAAAGAAATCTGGGTCAGAAGAGACAGAACATATCCGGCCAGGCAGAGACTTCTTTTCCAGTTGAGGGTGAGCGAGAATTCAAGAAATAGTAAGAAAATGTGACTCTGTCAAGTGTAGATCTGACCTCACAGTAACTAACAGGAGGGAAATTTCCCCTCTGACATTGTTTCTGAATTCATCAAAATGTTTGAATTAATTAAGGCAATGAGGACCACAGCATCCAAACACAAACTTAAAAAGCAGGGCCAGAGCTATAGGACAGCGGGGAGGGCGTTTGCCTTGCATGAAGCATCCCATATGGTCCCCTAAGCACCACCAGGAGTTATTCCTGAGTGCAGAGGCAGAAGTAACACCTGAGCATCACTGGGCATGACCCAAAGAGAAAAAAAAATCAGTTTCAGCTAAAACTTTAGATCGCCAAGTTTTAGAAGAGAAAGTTTACCCCAGGCAGGGCTTCAATAATTTTATCTTCTTCTCAGAAATATCTGGAAAACTATTACATCCTTAAGAATGATGGGGAACAAATTGAAAGGCAGAGAAACAGAGGTCCAGTGACTGAAAAACTGAAAGAAATGCAGAAATTTTTTGGGCTGAAAGTGACTGGGAAATGGGACGCCGAGACCCTCAGGATAATGAAGCAGCCGAGATGTGGGGTGCCCGATGTAGCCTCCTATCAGCTCACTCCCGGGACCTCGGGCTGGAAGCACACACACCTGACATACAGGTAAGCAGGCAGTGCACCTGCAGGACAATCTGTTCTCCACCAGAGCCTTAAGGAAAGACGTTCAATGTGTCTCTTCTGTGTGTCATTTAAGGATTGAAAATTACACACCTGACATGCCCCGCGCAGATGTTGACCATGCCATTGAGAAAGCCTTTGAACTCTGGAGTAAAGTCTCTCCCCTGACCTTCACCAAGGTCTTTCAGGACCCAGCGGACATAATCCTTTCCTTTGTCTGGGGAGGTGAGTCACTGCATTTGCTCCTGACATTCACCCTGCCTCCAAACCTCCCTGCCTGGCACCTGGAATACTTTGTTGAGGAGTGTTGGTTTCATGGCCTCACGTGTGCTGGAAGTTTGCTGGCTTCTTCCCCTGGCAAGTTCACCTAAGTGCAAGAGAGATTTGTTGAATTCTGTTTCTTGCAGATCACAGAGACAACTCTCCCTTTTATGGGCCTGATGGAGATCTTGCCCATGCTTTCGGACCAGGACCAGGACTGGGAGGGGATGTTCATTTTGATGAAGAGGAAACGTGGACCAACAATTTTAAAAGTAAGCTAACTAAATTTACCCGACTTCATCCCCCACCTCTTTATGATTGTATTACTGACTGGCCTAACTGAAAGAATGCATGTATAGAAAAAATATTCAATTTAATGCTGCATTTAGAAAAATCTAAGAAGGTCCAGAGAAAAATCCAGGGGTTTAGAGAGCCTGCCTTTAGGTGTGTGGTCACGAGTTCAAATCTCCAGTGTCCCACATGCACTGAGTATGCTCCTGGCAGTATCCTGCCATATCCTGAACATCACAAGTAGTCTTCAGTTGCACTGCAACTAGGTCTGTGCAAGTCCCACAAAAGGGGGTACTACCTCCAGAAAGCTCTGCAACTGAAAAGAGGTCTGGGCACAAAAGTGTGGCCTCTGGTAAGCTCATGTGTAAGAATCACAGCGACCCACAGTGAGCTCTACATCCATAACTTATGTGCCTCAACTCAGGGCACTCACTATGGCAAACATGCATGCAAACCCTACCAGGAAAGGAATGAAACCTCTGTGAGTACTTGGGAATGCCAGATCCTGAACTGTGACCCCAGTGAGCTCACCAGATAAAAACATGTGAGCAGCATAGCTGGATAAGTGTGGCCCTAAGTCACTGCAGAAACACAATTGGAATTTAAAAAAAAAAGGGGGACAGGGAATAGGAAAGCAGGCGAGCAATCTGTTAGCAGTAACATTATTGGCTGTAAATAGGCCCCTTGCATTAAGGAAGTGTTGAAAATCTTAATATGTTACTTGTGGGCATCTACACACAGACCCTGTTAATAAAGGGATGGACCACATGGTAATAACACTGATAGCAAGACTGTGGAAATTAAGGAAGGGGTGTTCTCAAAAATCCCAGCATTGTGCACAGATCTTCTTTTTTTTTTCTTCTTGGGTTACACCCGGCGATGCACAGGGGTTATTCCTCCTGGCTTATGCACTCAGGAATTACTCCTGGTGGTGCTCAGGGGGCCATATGGGTTGCTGGGAACTGAACCCCGGTTGGCCACATGCAAGACAAATGCCCTACCCACTGTGCTATTTCTCCAGCCCCAGATCAATTTTATAATAAATTGAAAGATTACATCAATGGACCTTGCTGTCTCTCCATGGAGTGATACTGATGCGCGCCATCGAGCTATGTGCTAGGTTCAGTCCGCTGAGTTTTTCTTCCAACTGTAGCCGTGTGCACAGAGAATTCAGGCAATAGTCTAGCTCGTCACTGTTAATAAACACACCCCTGCCTCCCCAGACTGCAGAGACAGGACAGGGTTAAGGCACCTGCTTGCATGCGGCCAACCCTAGTTGAGAACCTGTGAGCATTGGTTTGTGTAGAGTTACAGGTTACCTCTAAAGGGGGCATCTCAACCCTGGGTGCTTCTAACCTTCAGATGAACCTATTGGCTCTTTCAGATTACAACTTGTATCGTGTTGCTGCTCATGAGCTGGGTCATTCCCTTGGACTTTCTCATTCTACTGATATCGGGGCTTTGATGTATCCCACTTACATCTTCAGCGGCAATGTGCAGCTCTCCCAAGATGACATCAATGGCATCCAGGCCCTATATGGTCAGTAGAAAGGGAAATATGGCCTGCATCCTTCACTCATTAACTGTCTTCTGTCAGAAGCTGTTTTCATCATTTATGTCACTTTCCAATACCAAGCAGAACTAATTTCAGATCTCTTCTTTATTAGGACCTTCTAAAAATCCCAACCAGCCAACAGGCCCACAAACCCCAAAACCGTGTGACAGTAAGCTCACCTTTGATGCCATCACTACGATTCGGGGAGAAATCATGTTCTTCAAAGACCGGTAAGGGTTTTTTGTTTTTGTTTTTTTTTTTTTTTTGCATTGCGTCTTTGTGTTTTGCATTTGTAATAGTCAGAACACTTGCTCCTCTCAGCCCCTGGCAGGATATTCTTGAGCTGCTCAAGTATCAGCCCCACATATGCTTACAGCCCCTCATCTTACATCCGTGAGATGAGGATCCTGTACAAACCTGTAGGGTTTTGTGAGGTCCAGAATTACAGCAGTAACAGGAGTATTGGCCGGGTACTCTGAAATGGTCACTGTCACTGTTCTCCCATTGTTAATCAATTTGCTGAAGCGGGCCCAGTAACGTCTCCATTTTGAGACTTGTTGTTACTGTGTTTGGCATATTGAATACGTCACGGGTAGCTTGCCAGGCTTTGCCATGTGGGCGAGATACTCTTGGTAGCTTGCCGGGCTCTCTGAGAGGGGTGGAGGAATCGAACCCAGCTCGGCTGGGCTGGCTGCGTGCAAGGAAAACGCCCTACCCGCTGTGCTATCGCTCCCGCCCCCTTTGAAATGGTATGAATGCATAATCCAGCTGGAGCTGCAGCCAGCTCCAAAAAGCTCACCAGAACCAAATACTAATTTTGAAGAGTTTTGCCAAGACGCAGCCATTATTAAAAGTTTAATTATATAAAATTACAATTACATTAAAAACAAAGGTAATTTTTTTGAAAAAAAAATCAAACTCCACCCGTTGTAATTCGTTTGCTACACTTTATTCTATGTTCTTGAGATTGTTTGTTTCTGGTGCATTTGCACTGTGGAACTAGCGTGCAAGAGATGGTGAGCTACATCTGCCCTCGTGGGAGTACTTCCAACCACAGGCATAGGCAAACCCTACAAACCAAGATTCTCTCCCACCCCATGGTGGTGAGCCGGATGTTAAATATTTACCAGCAATTGCCAGTGCCAGCAGAGAACTGCTCCCCAAAACATACTTTTCCCTTTTCTTTTTCAATTCAGGTTCTACATGCGCAAAAGTGATTACTATCCAGAAGTAGAGCTCAATTTCATTTCAACTTTCTGGCCCAGTCTTCCCAGTGGACTTCAAGCTGCTTATGAAGTTGCACACAGGGATGAAATCCGATTTTTCAAAGGTAAGGCTTCTAGTTATTTTTAAGTGTTTTTTTTAAATGATGATGTTTGGGGCTGAGAGATGAGAGTACTAGTTAGTTTCTCTCCATAAGTTTTTAAAAATATAATTGTCTCAGGTCCCAAATCAGTGGGAGTCCATCACTTTTAAATTCATCACAATTAATAATTGCATAGTGGATTTCTGCAGAAAAGGACTGGATATTTAAAAAAAAAAGATTTCTGCCCTGTTTATTAATTTGGACTTAGGAAAGTACTTTCTGTATAAACTGTTTATATCTGGGAAAACATCCCTCCATCCCAGAAGCACTCTGGAATAAAACTGAGAGACTTGGGCCAATACCACAGAAGGTATGAAAAGGAAATATTTGAGTCATTTCCTCCTGAGTGTCATTTTAAATCAAATGACACTGCTGAGAGGGGCAGTCAGGGATGGGGGCTGCAGCTCTGATGTCACCCCCTAATTACCTCCCCATGGCTATGGGGAGGTAATTAGACATGCAGAGTCTTCGGATGGAGCAATGGCACAGCAGCAAGATACTTGCCTTGCATGCGGCTGACCCAGTTTTGTTCCCCCAAGTCCTATCAGGAGTGAACCCAGAGCACAGAGCCAGCACCACTGGCTGTGGCCCAGAAACTGAGGAAAAGAGAGGAAAAAAAGAACCAGGAATTTATAGAATCTCACTTAGCATAATGTCCTCATGGCCTGTCCTGGTTATAAGGTCCTGCTCCAGACCTCCTTGAATTATAACAAGATTTCCAGCAACTCTTACAGACAAGGAACTATGAGAAATCCTGAATAACCATAAACTGAATAAAACAAACTTGTTTCTATCAGAATAAAACACAAACCAAGACCACGATGTCTTGGCTTGGAAGATACCGTCAACACTATCATTTCTACCACTGTGAGTGTGGGACAGAACATTCAGACACTTGGCACTGTATTACACTCAAGTAAAGAAATGATGTTCAGATGGGAAAAGAAGAAAACAAACAAACAAAAGATCTGGGCACAGAATTAAATATTTGATCTGTATTTGAATCAGATGCAAAGATTTTAGTTCGGACCAGGGGTACAAGGCATTACAAATGGTGAGTTGCCACAATCCTCGGAGCCAGATCAGCATGGGCATGAGCTCACAGTACGTGGGCAATGGGGAGAGTGACCAGGGCACTGCACACCTGCCTATAGAAAGAAGTGCTGAACCCCCAAGACAGGACTAAAGAGAGAAACCACATCGTCATTTAAAAACAATCTCCCTAAGGAGCAGGACTGTGGCTCTGTGGTCGAGCATTTGTTTTGCGTGTGAGAGGACCTAGGTCCAATTCCCTGTACCACTTGGTCCTCTGAGTGGCACCAGTATCAATTCCCCAAGCACCAAGCAGGGAATAAGCCCAGAGCACCATGGGTGTGGCCCAAAACCAATGCAATAAAACAAATGACTGCCCCCACACCCACCCAGGTGATTCTGCTGCCTCTCTAGACTAGGAGAATCAGAAGTGAGCAAGAAGCTGCTTCCTGTCTACAGGTGCCCCGGGCAAGCGTTTTCATCCATGGTTCTTGATTGACAGGTAACAAGTACTGGGCTGCCCAGGGACAAGAAATGCTATATGGATACCCCAAGGACATCTACAGAGCCTTTGGCTTCCCAATAACCGTGAAGAATATTGATGCTGCTGTTTCTGATGAAGAAACTGGGAAAACGTACTTTTTTGTTGCTGACAAGTACTGGAGGTAAGGGCTGAGGGCAGAAAACATTGGGGGAACTGCTTCATTTCCCATAGAGAAAACATTCCAGATTGAGGTATTTAAAAATGAGGCTCAGCTGCACTTTTTGTGACTGGTTGCATCTAGTTCAGTATCCAAATCTATTGACTAATCAATCATACTGGGAACCCAAAAGGGGCAGAGCCATACGAGCCCACTGGAAGTGCCCTCTCTTCACACTCACCTTGATGGTCCCTGTCTGGAGAACTAGAATTGGGGGTTGGTTTGGAAGGACCTTCTAAATCTTCTAGACCAGGCAATACTCCACCCCCTTCACCCTGGTTTATTCTATATATGATCTATAGAATTAACAGTTCTCAGTGCATTCAAGCTGGTGAGTCCCATTTTGAGATCTTGAGACTCTATAGATTCTCAAATGTTTAACAGCTGGTTCCGGCACTTCTGTTTTCACCAGGTATGATGAATATAAGCAATCTATGGATAGAGGCTATCCCAAAATGATACAAGATGACTTTCCTGGGATTGGTGGCAAAGTTGATGCAGTTTTCAACAGAAAAGGTAAGTAAACAGATAGTATTTCCTTTGTTTTTATTGTTACAATAGCATCAGTCATGTTGTTTGAAATAGTAAATGCCAGAATATTTGCTCTCAAAAGTAACATGGGTTTTCAGGAATCCAAGTTAAATCTAGAAATTATTTGTATAATATAATCAATCTTTCTGGTTTCATTCCTAGGTTTCTTCTATTTCTTTCATGGAACAAGGCAGTACAAATTTGATCCTAAAACCAAGAGAATTTTGAGTCTCCAGAAATCAAATAGCTGGTTCAACTGCTGAAAAAAATGAACATAAAAAAATATTTCAAGAGACCCAATGAAGGAGATTTCCAGAAGAGCTATATATTTAAATAAAATATATAATATACCTTAAGTAAATAAAATACCTTATTTTATATATATTTATATGTGTGTTTATATATAACAAATCAGAATACAACGTTATAGTTAAGTTTCACAAGTTGAGGCCTAGGAAAAATTCACAGCTATGGAGCCACAAGCACAGAAGCTTCTTTCAGTTGTTAACCCTTGTCAATGAACAGTTGTCAAGAGAGAAAGAGAGATGAGAATATGAGTCTCCGCAGAAGAAAGCAATTCAGAAACAAATGGCATCTTAACAAGCAGGGCAAAGCGCCTTCACAAAACTAAATAAAGTGTTTCATATTCAGAATTAAATCATGTTCTCTTCTGTTTTAAGACTTTCTATGGGCTGGAGCGATAGCACAGCGGTAGGGCGTTTGCCTTGCACGCAGCCAACATGGCCGACCCGAGTTCGATTCCTCTGCCCCTCTCGGAGAGCCCGGCAAGCTACCGAGAGTATCTCGCCCGCACGGCAGAGCCTGGCAAGCTCCCCGTGACGTATTCGATATGTCAGACACAGTAACAACAAAGTCTCCAATGGAGATGTTACTGGGCCCGCTCGAGCAAATCGATGAACAACGGGAGGGCCTTTTACCTTTTACCTTTTTTATGAAATTTATTCTAGTATATCATTGTTCCCCAATTATAACGTCTCATTGACAGACCAATATTTAATGTTGAAATGGGAAGCAGGCAAACGTGTCTTAATGATCACTGCAAACACATCCCTCTAGGGAAAGAAAGCTCAAAATGGGAATATAATTCCTCCCTTCTGGGAAAAATGCCTTAGAAATTTTTATGAAATGCTTGCAAAGTATTCCACTAACTGTAACTAATGTTATGGCAATATTTTGGCCCAATTCAAGCAGGAATTCTAAGGCAGAGTATGGACTTTGTACCCATGAAGTAGACAAACATCTAAGATCATAGAGAGGCCTGAGTTTCATAAAGCCCAGTAGAATGGGGTTAGGAACACCAGGCTAGGAGAAAAGATTCAAACTATACTTATGTACTTTCATAATCCAGTGAAGGCTGGAATGCTACTCATTACAGAAGAAATGGCCAGGAGAAGTGTCACCACTAGCACATGCCTTCCACCTCCCAACCTCTGTGATATGCATCAGCCCAGGGAACAATGACCCCCTGAGCCACAGAGATGGTTAAGTGTGAGCACACAACTCGAGCAAAAATTCATATAATCATAAATTCTGGTTATCAAATAAAAAGTTTTATTTTGCCCTCCTGCCAACTGTCCCATGTCATCACATACCAAGTATGATTTAATTTCTGGAAAAATCACTTTCCAGCTATAGGTTTCGTGGCAAAATCTAAAATGATTGCATCTGAAGCCAAGACACAGGAAGGATTGCTGTGGTACTGAAGGCACCAGACCTTCCTGCCATGGCAAAGCTGCTTCTCTAGTTTCGTGGGAATGTGCAGACAATGACACCAGTTCTCACTCCCTTTGAGACTATCAATTAGAGGTGAGACCTCTAAAGACATGATTGTTTCTGAGTTGTACTAACTAACCCTTCCTTAGTTAGTGTGTGTGTCCTTATGGGGATGAAGTCGTGTGGTATACAATTGGGATTTCCTAAGATTTTGGGGTCACTGTGAATGCTGAGGGACCTTGGCCATTCCTGACTGGAAGAACCAGCAGCTCTAAGATGACAACATCTCCCAAGTAGACTTGGGGGGGAGGCTCATGGCTTGTACTCCACCTGGCCTAGAAAATTTTAACTCGGGCCTCTTGCTTCTTCAAATATCAAGAGTCTTGTGTGAGAGAATAGTAGAGATAAGCACCAGGAGGATTGTTCCATGGCTTGGAAGTCAGATGCACACATTGGGGGAAAAGGCAGCTCAGATAGAGAAGGGACTACCAAGTAAAGGGTGCTTGGAAGGCCCACTTGGGATGGGAAATGCGTGCTGAAAATAGACTAGAGACCGAACATAATGGCCACTTAATACCTCTATTGCAAACCACAACACCCAAAAGGAGAGAGAGAGAGAGAGAGAGAGAGAGAGAGAGAGAGAGAGAGAGAGCATAAAAGAGAATGCCCTGCTAACAGAAGCGGGGCGGGGTGGGGGGAATGGGGTGGGGGTGGGAGGAGGTATACTGGGATCATTGGTGGAGAATGGTGGAGGGATGGGTACTTGATCATTGTATAACAGAAACGTAACCACAAAAATTTATGTCTGTAACTGTACCTCATGGGGATCCGTTAAAAAAATAAATAAATATTTAAGGGGGGAAAAAAGAGTCTTGTGTGAAAGAAGAGATTCGTTTTCTGAAAAATTCACTCACTTCCTGGGGACTGGAGAGATAGCACAGCGGTAGGGCATTTGTCTTGCGCGCAGCCAGCCCAGCCAAGCCAGGTTCGATTCCTCCACCCCTCAAGGAAAGCCCGGCAAGCTACTGAGAGTATCTCGCCCACATGGCAAAGCCTGGCAAGCTACCTGTGACGATTTCGATATAATAAGTCTCAAAATGGAGACGTTACTGGGCCCGCTCTAGCAAATCGATAAACAACGGGAGGACTGTGTATGATTGTGTTCCCTTCCTGACTTGCCTTCATGAATCCATTTAGATGGGGAAGTTGTAGTCAGACACTACCTTGACAGGAAGCAAATGAATTACCCACCACAGAGTGCATGCTCACAAGTCCTACTGTGCACCAGGAGATGTCTTTCTCACCTGCCAGAGAGCAGAGATGGGTGGGCCCTGTGGAAGTCTGTGCAATCAAATGGGCTTGCAAGGAAAAGGGACAGACACTTGCTAAAAATGAGGGAACTGAGGAATTCATCACAGATGTTCTCTGAGAGAAGGTGGTTTGTTGAGGAGGAAGGAAATATCAGGTGGGGCAGCTATTCCAAAGGATGGAAAGAAACTAACTGGTGACAAAGATGGTTCTCTGTCACCGGGACAGATCCTGAGTGCTGGATCAAAATACAAACCCTGTTTCCATGCATTTTATTGCTGATAATAAGGTTATATTTCTAGATGGATTGCATTTGGTAAAAGGTGAAGATTATTAAAGGGGATATGCATATTCAATTAACATCAGGAGAAGGAACAAGGTTGGGAATGAGAGTTTACATTAATGAGGTTAATGAAGCTAAAAAAATAAAACGACATCCCACTGCTGCTACTATGTAAGCTTATCTACCAACACTGTTCCATAAACACATCAATAAATCTTGAAAGAGACCAATTAACTGCAAAATTTTTCCAATACCCTGAGACCTCCGGGTGGCCATGGGAGGGGGGACAGGCCAAGTTCCCACCCCACCAAAGTCCCAGAAGCCACATTCACACCCCAATGGCTGCTGCTGTGCCTCCAAGAGACTTCCCAGTTATATATTCTGGATTTTCTGGAGCATGGAGCCACATCTTCAAACTCTACAACACTGACATCCCAGGAGAACCACACCAAGTTGAATGGGAACGAAACATAGAAGCCAACTAATCTTGACTAACAAAAACATTTGTTAGTTTGACTAACGAAGGCCCAACTATCAACAGAAACTCAGTAAACCCTCATACAGGGACTTAATGTCCCCATGGTAATCTCATAACAATTTTTACAAATTTTCTTTTACTGAAGTATTTTTTGATCATTCCACTAGCCATTTAGGGGTAACAAAGCAATATAAAATATTGTGAGCCTGCTACAAAGGCTTGAGGGGTGGTTGGGGAAAAGGGAGATAACAGTGAAGAGAAGGTGACAGTGGCGGTGGGATTGAGGTTGGAAAATTGAATGCCTGTAACAAGTCATCAAAAACAACTTTGTAAACCACAGTATTTAAATTGAGTGGGGGAGGGGGAGGACAGGCTAGATTAATTCTACTGTCTTTTCTGGCCTAGTGATAAAAAGCTGAAGCAAATGGAGAACTTCTTTGGGCCTGAAACACTGAATGCAACGAAGTCCACAGGTGCCCTGGCCTGGCAGACCTAGGCATGAACACCAGGGCAGCTTTAGTCACCCAGCTCGAAAGGCCACTGGATTCAGAAAACAATAAACCAATACAATGGGTGTCATTGGCCTTTTAATGTTGACTTTCTGTCCCTCCATCATTTGGATCAAATCTTCCATTTCTGTTTCTCTGTAAATGCTGTGCTAATCCCCAGAAGCATGTTCATTCCCACCTAGAGCCTTGTGTATTCTTCACTGTGTTCTCTTTATTTCTTAGAATCCCTTCTTCACACATCATAATCTTAATGTAAAACTTCAGTCCATCCTTTGAAATATCCTTGAAGGATCTTTCCTCCCCAAAGGTTCTTCTCATCAACCCCCACCCCCCGAGTAGGATGTGATTGTTTCTTCCTCTAAAACTCTCTCTCCTTCCTTGCAACAGAGGGAAGGAGAGAGAATCCAACTTATCTGAGTTGTTTGAAAGACTGAAAGAGAATACATATCGAACATTTAAGCCAGTTCTATAGAATACAGACACTTCATACACATTTCTCTTACTTGGTTAGTAAGGACTGCCCACTAAGCAGAGCACCCTGCCCAGGATGAGTTGTGTCATTTTAACCACGGACTCTCTCTTCAGACACATGCACTCAAATTTGCACAAAGCACTGAGTACTGAAAGAAGAGAGCAGAAGTGATTTCCTCACGCACAGCTTCACTCTGAAGCACTTCTCCTTAGGGAAAAGAGAATCTCTACAGCATCATCAATTCCGTTCACAGAACAGACATAGTGAGCAGAGCCGTGACTTGATCACATTCTCAGTAGAGAAGACAGTAAACTGCACAGCCCCCCATATCCTTGTTCTTGCTCTCTCTCTCTCCCTCTCTCTGTCCACCCTCTCTCTCTGTGTCTCTCTGTCTCTGTATCTCTCCCTCTCTCCCCTCTCCTCCTCTCTCTATGTCTCTGTGTCTCTCTCTCTTTCTCTATCTCTCTCTGTCTGTCTGTCTCTCTCTCCTCCCCTGCCCCTTGTACTGAGAGTTATCATGTTTGTTCCTTCACCTGTTGTCAGCACATAGTTATTATTCAGAGTGATAATTCCAAACTATCTTTGTCATGGTGGTCCCTTCTCCATCCCAACTGCCTTCCACAGTGGGAAACTTTAAAGCAGTTTAAGGTCATGGGGGTCTCCCAGTCTGTAAACACACATCCTGAGGCTCAACACTGGCCAGCCTCAGAGCTACTACACACATCAGCTAATGTCTCTGGGGTTGATTTATCTGTGAAATGCATCATCTGCCAGGCCAGCTGAGCAGGAACAGAGCAGTACAATGCCCGTGTCTGGAATGCAGTCTATATTCAGCCCATGCTCATTTCCATCATTAGTGCTGCTTTTTCATGATTCCTGAAGAAAATCTAGCTCAGAGCTCCTTTTCCTTGAGCAGAATTTTTTTTAAATTTTTTTATTAGTGGGGCTGGAGAGATAGGACAGTGGGTAGGGCGTTTGCCTTGCACGCAGCTGACACGGGTTCGATTCCCAGCATCCCAAATGGTTCCCTTAGCACCGCCAGGAGTAACTCCTGAGTGCAGAGCCAGGAGTAATCCCTGTACATTGCTGGGTGTGACCCAAAAAGAAAAAAAAATTATTAGTGAATCATCATGGGGTACAGATACAGACTTACAAACTTTCATGCTTGCATTTCAGTCATACAATGATCGAGTTCCCACCCCTCTACCAGTGCCCATTCTCCAGCACCACTGATCCCAATATCCCTCCCACCACCCCACCCTGTCTCTGTGGCAGGTCATTCCTTTTTGTTCTCTCTTTCCTTTGGGTGTTGTAGTTTGCACTAGAGGCATTGAGTGAAAATTTTTTCAAAAGTAAATATCTAACTGAAAACCCCAAAGGCAATGAGGAGCAAATTGCACTTTTTTTTAAATCTGTTGAAAGAGTCCTCCATTTGGGGTTACTAAACCACATTAACATTGCAAAGTTGTCAGCGTGCAATTAACCTGCATTGCTTCACATTCCTGATGCAGCAACTGTTCAAGACACAGCTGTATAAGCAACTGGCAGAGCCCTGTGCAGACCCCAGACCCTGGGAACAGCTGGGCACTCACTGGTTTCAAGGGCAACCTGGGAGATGGATAGGAAAGTCGTGAGGCAGAGGGCAAGGCACTGCCCATACGGCATGAAGACGCTTTCACTCCTGCTCCTGCTCCACACGCAGCTCTCCCAGGCCTTCCCGGTCCTTTCTAATTCCCTAGAAGAGAAAAATAGAGACATTATTGAGGTAAGTGGACCCTGATTTGGTGTCGGGGTGGAGGGGTTGGGGGGGGACAAGAAATTTGTAGATGGTTTCTCTTTTTAGTTCAGGCAGCCTGAAAGTAATCTCTGCTCAGTTTGAGGTCAAACATCTAGTTTTAGTGACTCAGAGGTTTCTAAACTGGAAAAAAACAGCTGGGTCCTCAAAAAGCAAAATTCTTCACAGGGAAAGTATTGTGCTGAGGGGAATGGGTCAGAAGAAGAGGAACAAATATAGAATGATTGCATTCAGCTGTGGGATATAAAAATATATATAGTTGAAAACTAATATACACATCCAGGGAAAACAGAAGTGAGGAGGACTGATCAACAGTTGGAATCAACCACAAGTGTGTGGGGGTAAAAGGTAGGTAGAGAAGGGGCCAGTATGACTATAATAGCTGGGAATGATCACGCTGGACAAGAACTGAGTATTAAAAGTAAGTGAAGGGATTTGCCTAATACCTTTCAGTATCTGTATTGCAAACCCACAATGCCCAAAAGGGGGGGGGGGGAGAGAGAGAGAGAGAGAGAGAGAGAGGAGAGAGAGAGAAAGAAGGAAAGTGCCTGCCATAGAGGCATGTTGGGGAGGTTTGGGTAGGCGGTGATGAGAGGAAAACTAGGCACACTTGTGCTGGGAAACAGGCACTGTTGGAGGGATGGATGCTGAAACACTGTATGACTGAAACCTATTCATGAACAGCCAGCTTTGTAAGGGTCTATCGCACGGTGATTTAATTAAAAAAAATCTGAAAAATCGGAAGAAAAAAAACAAAAGTCAGGGCTTTTCAAAGCCCAAAACTGTATCACTAAGATTTTCAGCTGGGAACCCCTCTTAGAAGAAATGATTTTTACTATAAGTTAAACATTTTTTAACATGAGCCCTGCCAGTTTCTATGCAACCCAATTACTATAGATCTGGTGATGACAAAGATGAACTCATCTTTACAACCCAAATCCCAAGAGAATATGAGTGACTGAGTATCAGGTGAGAAATTGGGACCAGGATGTGACTGAGTGAGAAAGCATGAGTTCTGCATGTGTGAGGCGCTGGGTTCACCTGGCTGCATGCAACCCACCCTGCCCAGCATCACTGGGTGTGGCCCCTATTTTTTTTTTAGTGGGAAGTTATAAAAAACTAGTCATCAGTCCACAAGGTAATCAGGGGCAATAGAAATAGTCCAGTGGGTAAATCATTTGCCTTGCACAGGTAATCTGATTTTCTAACTACAGATTCTGGGACTATTTGTGAACTCTTGGAAGCACTAGAAAGGCAGAACTTTTTCTTCTGGTGTTCTACAGTACAAAAATCAGCCCCAAATTTTAATATTTACAGGGAATGCCATCTCAAATTCATCACAAACAATGTTCTTGGCATTACAATTTTAGAAAAGCATATTCTTGTTGCCTTTTCTCTTTTTTGTGCCTCTTACAATGTACTAGTAACCCTGGGTGGATTGTGGGGCTCACTAGTTCTTACTCTGTGCAAGACACGCCACTGGCAGTGCTTGGGGAACCCTGTGGCATTCAACAGATGCCATCCCTGTCCTTGACAAAACAGCCTTGTGGAGGGGGAGGGTGCTTACTGTTATTTCCACGTTAGAGAGGAGAGAGAGAGAGATATGCTGTGAACTCAGTTAATGCATAGCACAGCTAAAAATCTAAAACCAAGCCTTTTTGACCCCAAAGTCAGTGCCAACACAGAATATTTCTGTCTTGTAACACTTGCAAAGTGCCAGACATTCACAGACTGCTTCGGAAGAGGAAGACTTAAGGTTGGCTTCTCAAACCCTTAAGAAACTTCATTTCCTAACTGTCTCCTTGTAAAGAGTTACCATGGTGAATAAAGTGCTATTCTCTATGACATTGCTGTCACGCCAAATCATGTTTGGAGTTCTTTCAAAAATGTCAGTTCTCTTTGAGAAGCAACAGGGTGACTTGGGACCTGATCAGGCATCATGGGTAAATCCTTTCTCAGCCGCCTCCACTCCTCAGGGAGATTAACCCTTCCTGACAGTAGGGAAAAGGGGATTTAGAATCTGCCTTGATGCAACTAGCATCTCTAGAAACTATTAAATTCTGGTGGTAGTTTATTTACTTAAAACAAGAGGGAAGACACTTAACTGTCATCTAGCAATTTGCATAAGACTTTGGTCCTTATTAAACACCTATTTTTATACATAACGTTAATTAAAATACTGAGGAGGTGTTTCTTCTTTCCCGTAATTTCTGTTCTCTGAAAGAAACCCATTTGGCTCTAGTCCCCGTGCTATGGTACTTTTTGCCCTGCTTTGATTTCTACAGTACTGTAGATGGGAATGCAAGATATTCCGAGAATAGCCGGTCTGTTTGTCTCTGTCCAGAAATACCTGCAGAACTTCTACCACCTACCAAGAAACGACTACCGATCCGAAAGGAATAAAGGCAGTAGTATCCTTGTTGAGAAGCTGAAGGAAATGCAGCAATTCTTCAGGCTGAACGTGACAGGGAAGCCCAACAAGGAAACGCTGCAGATGATGGCAAAGCCTCGCTGTGGCGTGCCCGACGGTGATGGCTTCATGCTGACGCCAGGGAACCCCAAGTGGGAGCACAGCAACCTGACCTACAGGTGAGATTTCTGACTTTCCAAACTTGCCCAGTCAGTCAGTCAGTCAGTGTTTACAGGACTCTGAGGATACACCAGGTTCTATTCTAGGACTTCAGAGAAGTCAAATGTCACTTCCCTTGGAAATTTAGCTCCTGGGGAAGAGGCATAAGAGTTCACCCAGGTGGTCAAGGTCCCACTAGTGCTTTTCATGCTTTTTTTTGCCATTTATTTTGTCTCTAACAATCTAAAAAGGCCTATGCTAGGCTGTCTCTCAAAAACTCACCTTAGGACTCCAAAGATGTAATCACTTGCTGAGGAAAATCTAGGCTGTCCTTCCATGCATGATAATGATAACAATAATAATGACTCAACATTCGCTAAGCAATGAACTGCATGTGTTTCACCCTCAGTAACCCCCGGAGGGGCCCAACTGACTTTCCCTGACAAGCCCCCTGGCGCCACGGTGGGCCTCGCCTCTATGCCTCTCTCCAGTGGTGCTCCATCGCTTAGGCAGAGGGCAAGCTGCGGGAGGGCTGCGGTTCTGAATAATAAAGTGCCCTTCACACATTTTCATTTTAAAGGATTATTAACTACACCCCACAACTGTCAGAGAGGGACGTGGAAACAGCGATTGAGAAAGCCTTACAAGTCTGGAGCAGGGTAACATCCCTAACCTTCACAAGGCTCCCTCAAGGAGAACCAGACATCAAGATTGCCTTTGTCCCAAGAGGTGGGCTCTGAGATGGTGGGGTGGGGGTGGAGGTGGAGAAGCATGGGGGGTGGGGGAGACTGTGACCTGGAAATCCTGAGACCAGGGTGAAGGGACATGGCATGGCCCTGAGGTGGGTCTGGTGCCAGGATATTGTATGCATGAATGCATGCATCTCTGCCATTGACAGTATTGTAAAATTAAATCAGTATGGCTAAAAATTCTTTTAAAGATACACCAAAAAAAAAAAAGATAGTCTCAAAGAAGTTATGCTCAATTTTGCTTCCCAAGGCTTAACTGCAGTCTGACAAGATCTAACATAAATGACTTTATGTAGATCATGGTGACAACTCTCCATTTGATGGACCCAATGGACTCCTTGCTCATGCATTCCAACCTGGCCAAGGCATTGGTGGAGATGTTCATTTTGATGCAGAAGAAATATGGACCACAACGTCCAAAAGTAAGTTAGCAAAAGTTATCTCCACAATCAGCTTCCAACAACACTTTCCACGTTTGAATTTCTTCTGCCTTCCACACACATATATTCAAATTATTGTAACATTTAAAACTTATGCAACTGACTGAAAAGAGCCAGGAGGGTATCTGGAGAGAGAGTGCAGAAGTTAAGGCACTTGCCTTGCACCTGGCTGACCCTGGTTTGATCCCCAGAACTGCCTGTGGTCCCCTGAGTACCCCCAGATCTGATCTCTTAGCAGAGAGCCAGGAGTATGTCCCGAGCACCATCAGTAGAGTACAACTGAAAAATAAATTTTGAAGGATCAAGAAATTAAGTCAGTTTAAGTTTAGGGCGATAAAGAAGGGAGAAAAAAACTATTGGAACTAATTTATTAACCTTATTTCTCAGTGCAGGAACCATAAAGTGACAGACAATAGCTAAGCCCTACCTGGCTAACAGGCCCTGTTGGTATAAAAACAGTTTTAGGAAATGGGCCAGGCTTACTAACATCTGTGACGATGTTCACATTACAAAGGCATAGCCAAAGCATGGGACAGAGACCATGTGACTCACAAAACCAAAAGTATTTCCTCTCAGTTCCATTTGCAAAAAAAGGTTTTGTTGAGCACTGCTCTATGCTATGTTTTTCTATGTTTATATTTTTACGGAATAAACTGTACGATATTTTGGTCAGAGAACAATTTAAAGATAACAGTTTTATGTATAGTCCATATTCTTTTACCCAGAACATCAAAATATTCAATGTATCTATAAAATAATGTGGCTCATTAATAAGCTACATTGAATCCCATTTTTTTGGTTCTTTAGGTTCCTCCTTCCTTTTCTTCTGTACTTGAACTCAAACCCTAATGCCAATTTGTTCAAGTTTTACCTTTAAAAAAATTTTTTTTATTGAAGCACCTTGATATACACCGTTACAAAGCTGCTCATGATTGGATCTCAGTCATGTTCCAACACCCGGCCCTCACTAGTGTACATTTCCCATCACCAATGTCCCCAGGTTTCCTCCTGCTACTCCCACCTCTCACCCCAGCCTGTTCTTTATGGCAGGCATTTTTCTTCTTCTTCTCTCTTTCTCTGTCTTTGTCTCTCTGTCTCTGTCTGTATCTCTGTGTCTCTGTATCTTTGTCTCTATCTCTCTGTCTTTCTCTGTTTCTGTCTCTGTCTCTCTGTCTTTGTCTCTGTCTCTGTCTCTCTCTCTTTCTCTCTCCTCCCCCCCTTGGGCACTATAGTTTGCAATACATGTACTGAGAGGTTATCATTTTTCTTACTTTACCTAATTTCATCACACAGTTCTTATCAAGAATGATCATTTCCAACTATCATTGTCATAATGGTTCCTTGTCTATCCTAACTGCCTTCTCCTCAAGAAATTGAGGCAGATTTCCAGCTCTGGACAAATCTTCCTGGCCCTTGTTTCTACATCCTAGGGTATTAGTCTCATACTATGTTTTTTCTTTTATTTATGTATTTTTTAATTAGTGAAACATGAGGTACAGTTATAGACTTATAAATTTTTGTGCTTGGGTTTCAGTTATACAATGATCAAGTACCCATCCCTCCACCAGTGCCCATCCTCCACCACCACGGGTCCCAGCATCCCTCCCACCCCTCCATCCCCCATGCCCCACCCTGCCTCTGTGGCAGGGCATTCCCCCTTGTTCTCTCTCTCTTCTTTTGGGTACTGTGTTTTGCAAGAGAGGCATTGAGTGGCAATCATGTTTGGTCTATAGACTACTTTTAGCATGCTTCTCCCACCCTGGGAGGGTCCTCACAACACCCTTTATTTGGTGCTCTCTTCTCTATCTGAGCTTCCTTTTTTTTATTATTATTATTGAAACACCATGAGGTACAGTTGTAGATTTACAATTTTTTGTGCTTGGGTTTCAATTATACAATGATCAAATACCCATTCCTCCACCAGTGCCCATTTCCCATCACCATGGATAATATCCCTCCCACCACCATCCCCCCCATCCCACCCTGCCTCTGTGGCAGGGCAATGCCTTGTGTTCTCTCTCTCTCCTTTTGGGTGTTGTGGTCTGCAAAAGAGGCATTGAGTGGCAAACATGTTCAGTCCATAGTCTACTTTCAACATGCATCTCCCCTCCTGGGAGGATCCTCCAAACACCCTTTATTTGGTTCTCCCTTCTCTATCTGAGCTGCCCTTTCCCCTAGAATGCCCGGCTGGCGGCCTCTAAGCTATGGAGTAATCCTCCTGGTGCTGATCTCAGCTATTCTTGGGTATTAATCTCATATTTTGTTACTTTATATCCCCCAGATGAATGCAATCTTTCTAAGTCTATCCCTCTCTTTCTGACTCATTTCGCTTAGCATGATACTTTTATGATGTACCACTTGTATGTAAATTTCATGACTTCATCTTTTCTAACAGCTACATCATACTATGTTTTTTCATATCTCACAAATGAGTGCATTATTTTGTGTCTGTCCTTCTCTTTCTGACTCATTTAACTCAGTATGATACTCTCCATGTCCATCAATTTATAAGTGAATTTCATGACTTCATTTTTCCTGGTGGCCACACAGCTACCAGGAGGGTGTATATTTCTTTAAAATTATAAATTTAATTATGTTTGATAAAGTTACATATCTTCTGAAATTTCAGAAATTGATTTGTTTAGGAAGTCATCTGATTTTGGAAAAAACAGTCATCTTCTTTCTCATCCAGTCATTTCCTCTTCACCTGGCACTGCTTCAATGACATATTTCTATGGAGGAAACCAATCCTTTTAGAAGACTTAGGATAAAGTTTGGGATACAGAGAGATAGTACAGGGCCCACATCACTTGTTTTATTGTAGCCAAGACTGGTTTCATTCTGGGCATCACATGGCACCCCCCAAGTACCAACAGAAGCACCCCCTGTGGATAGAACCAGGAGTCACCCATAAGCACCACTGGGTACAGCACAACAACATCTGCACTCCCAGTGGTCTAGGTATCCTGAAGGCAAGAATAAGGTCTAAGGAGAGGAAGAGCCAAACCACAGGGCACTTCACAGGGGCTCGGAGCAATGACATACCACAGAACTCTGAATGGAAATTGCCCTTTTCTTTTGGCTCCTCCCACCTTTCTCATCTATGCTGGGGGGTCTGTTCTTCTGAACTCCCCATGCTTCCATGAGCAGAGGTACCATGCAGCCCTGGTACTGTGAAGATCTATCCATCCCTCCAGATGCCATTAGCACTTACCTGGACCAATTATCCAGACTGCTGCCTGGACTGTGCACCACCCGTGTCTACTCTTTCTACCCAAGGGGAGAATGGGAAAGATGACGCAGACAGGGCTGTCCTCCCACTGGGATGCTGCAGCCTTGGTCACCTGCTCACTGGTCACCAATCCTGCTGCTCTGGATCAACCACTTACTCCATCAGCCATCTAGATTGCCCTAGATCAACCATTGACTCCATATGCCATCTAGATTACTCTAGATCAGCCATTTACCTGAGCACTTGCATTCCAGACTACAACCTGTTTCTCGTCGCTGCCCATGAGTTAGGCCATTCCCTGGGACTCTCCCATTCCTCGGACCCTGGTGCCCTGATGTACCCCAACTACGCTTTCACTGAGCCCAGCTCCTACGTGCTCCCCCAAGATGACATCAATGGCATCCAGGCCATTTATGGTAAGGTGGCCACACAGGGCTGCTGCCTACATAGGCATGTGCGTGCGAGCACGTGCAGGCACGCGCGCGCGCGCACACACACACACACACACACACACACACACGGGGGGGATATATTTAAATTGTCTTTCGGACAGAGACAGGAAGAAATTAATCTTTCATGGGGAGGAGGATGATGTGGGGTCAGTCATGTGCATAGAATGCCCCTGAACTAATGTGGGTGGCACCCTCCAGACCTGAAATTTGGGGACCCAAGACCCTTCCCCCACTGGCAGTCAACTGAGGTGGAGACTGGGGGTGGAGGGCATTTCAGTTTCTTCGCCCTGAGAAGGGAAACCCTGGAGTAGGTTCCTGTACAGAGTGGGCAGAGGGGACAAGAGAGGAGGTGACAAGGGTGGTAGGGACAAAGGGAGACACAAGAAACAGACTGACAGGCACTGGGACAGCAGCTCCTGGACCCTCGGGGAATTCATTCAGGACAAGAGAACTTTCAGGGATGACCAGACTCCCCTGAGAGCCGCCATCCCGAACAACCCTGCTCAGGTTCAGCCATGCCCTAACTCCCTCGGCTGCAAGTAGAGCCCCTCAGTTTACACCGCTGACATGCACATCCTTACAGCGGAGGCTGTTGATATTGGCTTTGACACATGCTGTCAGACTGAAACCAACTCACTCTACTGAGGGGGGCTTTGGGGAGGAAGGGAAAGGACTGAGGGCAAAACCAGAAAGAGGAACAGGGCAGATTCTGGTTGCGAGGAGGATGGGTACGGGCACTCAGGCTGGTAAACTCTCTTTCAGGCCCTTCAAACGGTGGTCTGCAGCCCACTGGGCCCACCACACCGGTGGCATGTGACCCCAGGCTCTCCTTCGATGCCATCGCCACACTTCGTGGAGAAATCATTTTCTTTAAGGACAAGTATAAGATGGAACTCTTCTTCCTTTGACTTCTTCTGTGGGTGGATCCTAAGACAGGGCCCTCATTGAGTTCCTAGCTGCCGTGCCACTGAATTCTCCACACATGCAGCACACTGGAATCCACAGTGCTTTGGGGAGAAGTCAAAATGCCCAGGAAAAGAAAATATAATAACAGCTACAAGGATTTGAGCTGCTCGGGAACACCATAGCTGGGTTTGCCCAATACCAAAACATGATTCCATTTAACCCCAAGTCAGTTAAGAAAACTGAAACTTAAGTGATCAACTTATGTGAATGGAGGGAAAATCATCTAACTGATTTCTCTCCTTTTTGCCAATGATCATTGTGTGACTGCATCATCACAAGATGAGTTGTCTTGTGTTACTTTTACTAAGAGATTCTGAATATTCCCATCATTTCATCATTTCATCATCCTGTTATTCGCCGATTGCCTTGAGCAGGCCCCAGTAACGTCTCTTTCATCCTAACCCTGAGATTATATTCAAGGCTCTTTAGGAGAATGAGACCCATCATTGTTACTGGTATTTGGCATATTTGGTACGCCACGGGGAGTTTGCCAGACTGTGCCCTGTGGGCAGGCTACATTCGATAGCCTGCAAGTTTGTCCAAAGTAGGAATGAGATAATAAGATGTCATAAAAAGATGTCTTGATAAGATGTCTTGATAAGATGTCTTGATAAGGTTCCGGGAGCTGGATTTTATAGTCTCCCATCACTTTATAGAAATAATGACAAAGGACTCACAAAAAATAAATCTGCCTGTGGGAGGAGGAAGGAGGGTGTAACTCGCCCTTCCCGAGACTGGCTCTGAACATGGCAGTTTCTGTATGAGTCCCCTCGGTGCAGTTCCTGTGTGAGGCTCCATCACTCATCACTCTGCCCTTCCCTTCTACCAGCACCCCGAGACTAAGTAGCTGGTGCTTAGCTGCGCTGCATGGGTTTCCTCCCCATGTTCGAACAGGTACTTCTGGAGGCGGCACCCTCAGCTACGTCACGTCGAGCTCAATTTCATTTCTCTCTTCTGGACGTCCCTACCACATGGCATCCAGGCAGCCTACGAGGATCCTGACCGCGACCTTGTGTTCCTATTCAAAGGTAAAGGCAACTGTCGAAGGTTTTCCATTCACTAGATTCTGCCTGAATGGGAGCAGCACCTCTTCCTGGTCCTTCCCATACAAGTGAGAATATTACAGTTGCTGGGTTTCAGTCAAGAAATCTGGGTTGTCCCAGAGATGCAAATAAGTACAACAGAAATAACATCTGCACTTGTATGTTTATTGCAGCACTATTTACAATAGCCAGAATCTGGATTAAAACCCTAGTGCCTGAGAACAGATGACTAAAGAATATATACCAACTGGTTTGGTATATCTACACAATGTAATACTATGCAGCTGTTAGAAAGGATGAGATTATAAAATTTGCATACAAGTGGATCAACATGGAGAGTATCATGCTAAGTGAAATGGGTCAGAAAGCGAGGGACAGACATAGAATGACTGCACTCATTTGTGGAATATAAAGTAACATAATAGGACAATAGCACCTAAGAATAGTAGAGATATGGGCCAGTGGGGTGGCTCCACAGCTTGGAAGCCGATCTCATGTGCTGGGGGAAAGGCAGGTGGGATGGAGAAGAGACTACTAAGTAAATGATGGTTGGAGGGATCACTCGGGATGATAGATATGTGTTGAAAGTAGACCATGGACCAAACATGATGGCTACTTAGTACCTATATTGCAAACCATAACACCCAAAAGAAGAGAGAAAGAGGGAATGTGCCTGCCACAGAGTCAGGGAGTGGAAAGAGGTGGGGATGGTGGTAGGGACACTGAGAAAATTGATGGTGGAAAATGGGCACTGGTAGAGGGATGAGTACTCAAACATTGAAACATAATCATGAAAACAAGTCTGTAATGGTATCTCCAGGTGGTTCATTAAAATTTTTTTAAAAAAGAAAGAAAAGAAAGCTGGGGTTGGATTTCCTGCTGCATGAACTGGAGAAGGTAGGCTCCAAAAGGTCTGTTCCCTCCGATGTAGCATGAGAAAACCTCAGCGGACCCTCATTAGTGCTCTTCTATCCAAATACTAATCCAAATACAACTGTCTGAGATCCCTCACAACTGCAATTTAATCTATCTGTAAAAGCCACAAAAACAAGATGTCCAACTGAATGATAGTCTAAACAATTTGAATTTTCTCATAGCTCCTGGACAACAATCATAGCTCAATGAACTTTATTATCTTTTTTTGTTCATGTTTTGGGGATCACATGCAGCAGTGCTCAGGACTTACTCCTGGCTCTGTGTTCAGGAATCATTCCTGGTGGTGCTCAGGGGACCCTATGGTGTTCTGGGAGTCAAACAGGATTGTCTTCATGCAAGGCAAATGCCATAGCTGTACTATGACCCAGGCCCCAACATCTTTATCTTCTCAAAACAATTTGTTCCACTTTTATTTCATTGATAAATTTACTCCAAGGCCATGAAATAGTGTTGGTCCTGTAGGAACGAAAGAAATTTCCCTAACATCTACCCTTGACTGCTGACAGGCAACCAGTACTGGGCTCTGAGTGGCTATGATATTCAGGAAGGTTTTCCCAAGTATATCTCAGACTACGGCTTCCCAAGCAGTGTCCGAGCTATTGATGCAGCTGTTTCCTACGGGAGGAAAACATACTTCTTTGTACATAACCAACTCTGGAGGTAGGTATTTTGTATAAGAGTTTTAAATTTGTTTCTTCATCCTGTCTACAAATTACTGTTAAGGATAAGGCACCTGAAGGTTTTGGAGCCCAGTTGGACTTTGACAGGCATTCTTTTTTCACAAGATGATTAGTATTTTTATGGCCTTTGAAATTTCATTTCTAAAGAATTAAAATGTCTGCGCAAAGATATGGAAGATGCTATATCATGAAACAGAGCAACTTCTGATAAAGCATTCAGAGGGATGCAAAGAAAGACTTAAATCTCACTTTTGAATTAAATTTAAACTATCTTCACCCCCCAAGCACCACCAGGGGTCAACCTTGAGCCCAACAAGGAATAGCTACTGAGCACTGTTGGGTGTGGCCAAAGAAAGAAAAGAGAGAGAAAGAAAAAAGAGAGGAGAGGGGAGGGGGAAGGGGAAGGGAGGGGGAAAGAGAGAGAGCAGACAGAAGGAGAAATGGAGGGAAGGAAAATATTTATTTTCTGAATAAAAATATACAAGAAGGCTCTTTGTAAAGTCTATGTGATTTAATGAAAATTAATTATAATTATAAAAAAAATTATACCCTCTATTGGTGTTAAAACTTTTTCTTTTCATTAGCTACGATAACCAAAACCAACGTATGGATCCAGATTATCCCAAGAGCATAACAAGTACCTTTCCAGGAATAGGAAGTAAAGTTGATGCTGTTTTTCAACAGAACAGTAAGTAAAAAGGGTACAAATACATTTTTTAAATTTAACTAACACATTGGCATCTGACTACTATAATCCTGGGACAAGAACAGGGAATGTTTAATCTAAAATATTTTCATTAGAACATAAAACTTTTTATAGGAAACATCTGTCTTCTGGGGATGGAGAGACAGTGTAGCCAGTAGGGTGCTAGTTCTGCATGCAGCTGACCCGGGTTCAATCTCTGTCACTTTGAGTCCCACCATGAGTGATTCCCTGAGCACCTCCAGGTGCTCCCAACACCCACCAACCCCAATAATCTTCTATCAGCTAATAATCATCTCTTCTTTGTTACAGACTTCTTCCTTTTCTTCAGTGGACCAAGATACTATGCATTTGATCTGTCTACTCATCGAGTTACTAGAGTCGACAGAAGCAACCGGTGGCTTAATTGTAGATAAAACTGAAGGAAAACCAAAATGCTCACATTCAGAATTTGGAAGAGAAGCCTAATTTACCTTTCCTCCCACTGAGTTCTATGGAAGAGGAGCCTAATTCGCCTTTCCTTACTTGGAGCTGCTTCTCCTTCCTCAGTATCTGCCATTCCTATTGTCCGTGGACCTTCCTGAACAGAAATACATTTGAAATTTTATTCTTTTACAGATTTAATTCTGATGTGCAGCAAGTGCACATTTTCCATCAGCAGGTTTTTGGAAACCATGAATTTAAGAGAAACGACACATACTAAAGCAGGTCCTCAAGAAGGGTTTTATCCTTCATCCTCAGCAGGAATCAACCCCATTAACCATGCAGCTAAATGACATCTGATGAAAAGACACCATCGAGGACCTGTAGTCCTCCACCTCGGGCTGGGGAAGAGGAAAGCAAACCTTCTTTGTCACATCAGTGGTCGCTACTTTGTTACTTGCTTCTCTAACTTCTATCTTATTTATTCCTTAGACTCTTTATATATGTCTCATAGGTATCTATTACATGCAATTTGGCTCTAGGTTTTAGTTCAAAAGATTTTGAACATATGTGCTATCTTTTGCCTTTACAAGAGTACAGCATTGCTATTTTCACTCTTGGGGGAAAAAATCGGATTCTTGTGTCTCTCCACTGTCCTCCCCACCCTCACCCCCACCCCCATCATCCCCAGCCTTCCCTCTGCAACCCTCCCAAAGCACAGGCACAAATGAAATGTTGAAGCCTATGAGTGAAGCTTAATTGGAACAAAAGTCTGTAGATGCAGTTATACTGAATCCAAGTGGGCCTGGGAGCCAGAGTCCTTAGGAGAGATGCCCACATAGTGGTACAGATCTTGTATAAACACGAGGACCAGAGAGACAGACTCTCAAGACAACCACTAGGGGTGAGTAAGGACCCGCATCGAGAATGGAGACAAGAGCATCGTCCTTCTGGACTCTTGATCTGACTCCAGCTACCCAAACTGGTACAGAATAGTCTTTCGTGCTTTGCAGCTACTGGGTCTGTGGCATGTTGCTCCAGTGGCCCTAAGAAGCTTATTTATCTACATGTCACATAAGGACGTTCATCAACAGAGAATGATAAAGCTGGGATAGGAATAGCATCTTCAAAAGGGCCAGCGTAAAGGAGGGGTTCCACTTCCCTCCTGCCTCCTCCCCCACTCTATTACTAGAGTCCAAGCAAATCGGTTTCTTTCTCTTGCTCCTTATTTCTTTTATTCCTAGTGTTTGGGTCTTGTATCTGAAAGACCACACAAAACAGTGAGCTTTGTTTTTAAAGTTTTATTCGGCACAAGTCAAGCAAGTGTTGAGTTCAAGAAGTTGAGAAAGCTGAGAAGGCTGAGAGGGCTGAGAAGGCTGAGAATGCTAAGCCATCAGGGATCTCTAGTAGGAGAGCAACCCCCTCCTTTATTCTCACACCCTTTTTATCCCTGATGTCTGCAAGTTGCCCAATTCTTGGTGATGTAGCTAATTTGCTAGTGACCTCTTACTTGATTGGTCACCTCCATCTGGTTTGTGCTGGGCAAGTGCAAACTCCTATTGGTTGTTACCATCTGGGAGTTCATGTCTCATCTCTCTCCAAGGACTGACCAACCGCAGTTTTCCACAATCTGCTGTGCATCGGGGTTTCTAGCTAACTCTGCAATCCTGAGATATGCCTCATGGCCATGGTCATGGCTGTACAAATTTTACACCAAACAAGCTATAGGTGCAGAATAGCTGCTTCTTCCAAATGGTAGTGCTGATGCTATGCTGAATAATACCTATTTTCTCTGGCAGTAGTGAGGAGGGGCCCACACTAGAGTACCCAAGAGGGGGCACTCTGTAGATAACCAGGCTTACTGCACAAATACGAAGGTACTAAGCAAAAGCATCCAATTGAGTCAAACGGGACCTAGATGCATACATTTGCTGATAAACTTTGCTAGAATTTTCTGCTAATAACTTTGGGGTTTGTGGAATTGCAATAATCCAACATCAAATGCATAATAGCATATCTTCAACTCTTAGAATGTAATGTAGCTCATTACACACAAAACATGCATATTGTAAAATAATTGTCACCAATATCATCTATTTTCTTTTTCTTTTTCTTTTGTTAAAGCTTTTAAATCCCACATATGAGTATGAATTGGAATCTTATGATTGTAGAATGACCCATCAAATGAGTTTGATAAAAGATTTTATTGTTAATGACTGAGGTGACTTGCTTATAATTTCTTAAACTTCCACCACAGGCCCAGGGTGACAGCGCAGAGGTTAAGGCATGTGACTTGCATGTGGCCAACACCAGTTCAGCTAGGGGCTGGAGCCATAGCACATCGGGGAGGGCGTTTGCCTTGCATGCAGCTGACCTGGGTTCAATTCCCAGCATCCCATATGGTCCCCTGAGCCCCACCAGTAATAATTCCTGAGTGCGTGAGCCAGGAGTGACACCTGTGCATCACCGGGTGTGACCCAAAAAAAAAAGCAAATATAAATTTTTTAAAAATCGCTGGACATGCCCTGGAGGTCCCCTGGTGCCTCAGAACACAAGTAGCAGCGCTTCCTCGGCCCTCATGGTGGACCAGGAGGACTCCCAGAAGGCTGCTAGGGAACCCACCACCATGGACTCTTTGGGGCTCATCTCAGCCACTAATAAAAATAAGCAAAAAGAAACTTTGGTATATATACACAATAGAATACTATGCTACTGTTAAAAAAATAAAATCATGAAATTTGCATATAAGTGGATGGGCATGGAGAGTATCACACTAAGTGAAATGAGTTAGAGAAAGAGGAACATACTGCACTCATTTGTGGAATATAAAGTAACAGAATGGGAGACTAACACCCAAGGATAATAGAGTTATGGGGCCGGGGAATCACTCCACAGCTTGGAAGCTGGCCTCAAGCTGGAAAAGGCAGCTGGGAAAGAGAAGGAACCACTAAGTGAATGATTGAGACCTTGGAGGGCTCACTCAGGATGGGAGATGAGTACTGAAAATAGACTATGGACTGAACATGATGGCCACTTAGTACCCGTATTGCAAACCATAACACCCAAAAGGAGAGAGAGAGTGAAAGGGAATGTGTCTGCCAAAGAAGCAGGGGGTGGGGAGGGTGGGGGTGGTGGGAGGAACACTGGGAACATTGGTGGTGGAGAATGAACACTGGTGGAGGGAGGGATGGGTACTCTTATCATTGTATGACTAAAACGTAATCATGAAAGTTTGTAAGTCTGTAACTGTATCTCACAGTGATTCATTAGAAAAAAAAAGAAAGGAACAACAGATTTCACTGTTTCACTGCACCTGTAGCCCAGTCAGAACCACTACAGCAAAGACATTCACCTTTTAGATATTGCTTTACACTGCATATGTTGGATGTCTATAAGCTGACAATCTCCCTTGAGGGCTGGAGACAGCTCAGTGGGCTGGAGCAGGTGCTGCAGCGCACAGGGCCAAGTTCAGCTCCCAGCTCACCTGATTATCTGGACACTCCTAGAAGTCACCCCCGAACAGGAAGCGGGGAGCAGCCTTGAGCACCACTGGGTGTGGACAAAAAAATTCCTCAAATATATCACATGAAAAAATACATTATCCCCAATTTATTTCACCACACCAACAAAAAACCTAGAACATATGTCATTTTACCAATTCACATATCAAAAGAATGAATGACACACATTCTAGGTGCTGAGGAAAGGGTGAAAGAGATGCACATATAATTCGTAGTATCAATGTAACGACTACAAAGGGGTGGATGGAATGGGATCTTTTGCTTAGAACAATGAGGTGATTTCTGGTTATATTTTCTAAACTTTCTTGTGGTGTTGGTTTTATACACACACAAAGATGAAAAATTCATCTCAGAACACCTACTAATTGTCTCAAATAGTTACAATCAATTGTTTGCCAAGGCCTCATTTATTTTTTGAGATTAAAACAGCTCATACTTTTTTTGGTGGGCTGGAGCAATAGCACAGCGGCTAGGGCGTTTGCCTTGCAGGGCGGCCAACCCGGCCTACCCGAATTTGATTCCTCCACCTCTCTCGGAGAGACCGGCAAGCTACCAAGAGTATCTCGCCCACACAGCAAAGCCTGGCAAGCTCCCGTGACGTATTTGATATGCCAAACACAGTAACAACAAGTCTCACAATGTTACTGGGCCCGCTCAAGCAAATCGATGAACAACGGGAAAACAGTACCACAGTGCAGTACTACTTTTTTTGGCAATATTACACAGAATCAAAGGAAGTTAGCAACAATATGAACAATAAAGAAGTTTTAATTGTTTCTTCTTAAAACACTTATGGCTATTATAACAAAGTTTTATGTGAGTATGAGAGATATAGGATGGTCAATTAAGATTTTTAAAAAATCATTACTTTTTCATCTTAGTTATGATCTGTTTATGATCTGTTTATTTCTAAAGCCTAAAACTTTGGTGCAATTATTTGATTTGGAACATGGTACCAGGAACCAATAGCAGGACAGCGAGCAGAGTGAGACAGACAAGAAGGAAAAGCCAAACTGGGGATATGTTATCAAGGATTCTGTGTGGGCAACTGGCCGTATTCCAGAATATTCCTTGGTTTCTCCCAGACTCTTGAGGAGCATAAGGAACATCTTTCAATTGTTCAACACTTCAGGAATTATGGAGTTGGACTGTCCATCATTTGTTAGGTGAAAGGTGGTTCAGTGGCATCTCAGTGTGCTGGAAAGCATCTGGTGTGTGTTGGAGGCTTGGCTTTGTCAAAGTAAGGTGGGCTACAGCCTGTCAGCAGCTACGATATGAGGGAGTCAGTGGGGACCACTGTGCCTTGCGCAGATGTCATGAAGCAGCACCGGATTGCAATGAGCAATGACTATTTTTACTGAACAATTGCAGATGATGGCTGCAAATTCAAGCCAACTTAGAAAGCAAACACACAACACGCTCTGGCAAAAGGACTTCTCTGTTATTAATCAAGTACAGGCAGAATCACGCCA